GTCGATTCCTCTCTTCCAGTTGGACTTGCATGTACCCGGAACGTACTTGGCGGCGTCCATAGCCAACGTCAACTTGACCTCCGGGCAGTAGTCCCAAATGTGTTTGCGTAGGGCCGGGGTGCCCCAGATGGCGCTGTGTAACCAGATACCGCTGCCACCAGTGTGATACCCCATGGGCTCGTAGTAGCCTTCACGGTAGTCGTCGATGCCGGCAACAAGCTCGCCTTCAGCGGCCGCCTCCAAAGTCGAGTTGGGTCCGTCGTGGTTGATCACGGTGCCCGGCCCTGTGTGCATTTCACCGCTGAACATCAAAGAGACGGTTCCGTTGGCAACCTTGCTGCCTGGGCGGTGAGCGAGACGCTCGGCGAGCCAGACGTCCTCGGGTTCGGATCCATCGACACGCTTCTGGTTACGAAGGATATCGATCATGGCGCTGACACGGCGGATGGACAGACCGCCGTTGCCACCCCAGCGACCGCCGGGGTTCCAGGGGGCGCCGATCCAATCATACTCGAGGTAGTCATTGATGTTCTGCCTATTGTTGGCGCACAGAATGCTGTCGGTCTGGAAGACGAGCAGCCATTCGGCAGGCTGCAGAACGGTCTCGTACAGCCACAGGTTGGTAAGAAAGCGGCTGATCATCTCCTGGCCAGCGGTGCTCATGTTGGAGGGAATGTAGGTCAGATCCAATTTGCCAGCGGCGACTTGCTCGCGAATGGCGACAGACTGGTTGATTGACCGGACCGAGTCAATGGAGCCCATGAAGCGGAAGCGCCAGTCCGGGGGCACGACAGAGATGAAATGCAGCATCAGAGGCGCCAGGATAGGATTGGGTCGGTTCTCGACGAGGAGAGCGACCTTGGAGTGGTTGTATGGCGAATGTGCGTATTCGAGGGTGACCTTTGGGACGGTCATCGTCTTGATCGTGGGTAGCGAGAGCCATACCGACACGCCGCTGTCACCTCATTGTCAGTAACTCGTGCGGCGCACGTCCACAGGCGCAGCGAACAGCCCGTGATACTTCAGACCGTCGACTTACAGGAAGAGGACGAAGGCGCCGGCCACTCTCATCCTGCGGCTCGTCAGAGCCCATAGGGAGAGCAGCAGGACCTTGACCTGCTGCTTCACGTCGGCCATGTTGGTGTCTGGCTGAGGTGGTAAAGCCATCTTGACGAAAGAGCCAAGACGGCTGGTAAAGAGCGCTTGGAGACGAGCCCCGGCGCGGCAGTTGTAGCGAGGAGATGCTTCTGTCGGAAATTGTGTCGGGGAAGTTGGCGGCCAGACCGGCTGTGGGAGCGGGCGTGTTGGCGATTCGCAGAGCCGTCCGGTCCACAGCGATTACGCAGGTCGATGGCGCGGATGGGCGGTAGCGTGCCAGGGGAGGACTAAGGCATGCCCGGATCCGCGGCCGGGTGGTGATTACGACGACGGCAGCGGATGGCTACTCGCGCGGATACCTGCTCATGGCCCGCGTTGGAGATGCAGGAAGAGGTGTTGTAGGATGAGAAGAGAAGAAAGAGAGTGAGAGGGACATAGAAAGCTGCCCAGAGAGCGTGATGTGACAGAGGCGCTGATTCCACTTGCACTAAGTCGGCGGCAACTTTCCTGGGGCAGGGCCTCGAAAAGCGAACCCGCAATGAATGTAGCTATTGCCTCCCTTCGAAATGATGCCAGACTGCTCGTTGAGGGTCGCGGAAGGAAAACTATCTGATGATAAGACACTGCACCCCTTCCCTCTCCCCCTTTACACTTGGCACCTGTCCACGCCAGCCTCCCACGCCTGGGCCAGACAGAGTTGTGCCAGCGAGTTCCAATCAAACAGGCCAGGCCCTGGGTCGTGGAAGTTTCAACCAAAGGGATGGCGAATGGGACGTTTTAGTGGGCTGCTAGTGCCTCAGACGGCCGAGCCGATTTTCTTCTTTTTCCCACACTGGAGCACCCAAGCACCGCTCCTCGTGCAACTGAGGAGCGAGAGAACTGGAGGTGAAGCGAGCTCCCCTGCAGCCTCTCCACCCCTGGCTGCCGTCGACGACCGCCGAGCCCCTGTCAAACCGCGCAATGCAGCCACTGTAGCAGCATCTAAATCGGTCGAGTACCTGTCAGGTATCACAAAGTATCCCGCCGATGGTGACGGCCAAGCGCGATGATGAGGACCCAGGATGCTTTCGCCAGGCCACCTATAGGCTATCCGCACTGCGAGTGCGGTTCCTTCGCCGTCCCCTCCATTATCCTCTGACTTGCAGCTCCCCTCACACGTTTGACCCGGGGTGGGATCCTCCAGATTTAGAAAGGAAGGGCTCGATTCGGTGTGTATTATGGCAGGGGAATAAGGAACGAACGGCAGCGGGACGTCACGCCACCATTCACACTCCGACTCGACGACGTCTTCCAGCTGCTGGATGCCGCAACTGATACGAAGCGCCACGAAGCTGTCGGTCGGTCACAGGATGGCATTTTACGAACGGCGGTCGCGGACAGAATGCAATTTGCGGCGGGCGCAGCGGTTTTCGTCTCATCATCTTGCCCTGCGAACCGATTCGTGAGCGCCGGCGACTTGCGCAACAGCTTCCGAGACTCAGGGTACCTTGCTCTTTACCGAGTACGTGCAGGCCTTGGTCGCAATCGCAAACCAACAGTCCCCCGTGCCGCACTCTCGGTATCGCCGGCCGTGTCACCCATTAGCCGGGCCGTATTAAAGCCCAGGGGTACTAATCACAGCGCGTCGCCCAATGCTAGCAGCATGATGGTGTGTTGCGCTGTCTACGGGTAGCACATGGGCTCCCGATAACCGCTTCTTCGAGACGAATTGTCACAGACTCACGGGAGCCTCGTCAATCGCTTGATCCAACGTCAGATCAATCTCGGTTCCCCAGCTAGTACAAAAGACCGAGACCCTGGGACAAAAAAGACTGGATGCAAGGGCACACAAGGGAGGACCGTGTGTGGTGCTGTCTCAAATTTCTCGAGGCTTCGAAATGATCATCGCTTATGAGTTTTTCAGACGAAAGGCTATTACATGAACGAACGGCGCCCACACTGATACACTGGGACACCGTCAGCAATCCGCCCGACTGTGATGGCTCATGCAGCCAACGGACGATGCTGTGTCTTGCTTGTCTTGGCACTGAAGGCCGATGCGTTGGTTTGCTTCGCTCGCGTACATTGTACGATTCTGTGAATGGGAGGTTTTCTAGGTCGAGTCCAAACCGGCGAGCAAAACCAATCGTAGGGCACAATAGATGGCCCTTGCTGCACATCGCGAGGCCTGTTTCTCCAGGCTCCAGCCTTGCTCGGTTGGTTCCTCCACACCATGCAGGGAGGACGTGAGATAACAATGTCTTGGCCGTACCCATATCGCTCCTCGGACCCGGAGAAGCTCCAACTTCCTTCTGGAGACGACACGACGGCAGCATTCTTGTTGCTCGCATGGAAAGCGTAGAGCGGAGCGGGCGTTGAAAAGCCGCGTTAGAGCGTTGAATCAAATAGACTCACCTCTCGAGATGGAAAAGAAACGGTGTCCTGAAGTCCGCCGCTGTTCTCGGGCGGAAGGCTATCGAGCGCAGCCTGCTCAGAGCTTCAGCTGGGCAGCGCCATTATTACCAGGCACATCACCCACATATGCAGACGGCCGTCACTGAGGCCTTCATGCAGTGGTGTTGCTGCAGGTTCGACTGTCATCTGGAGTTGCGATAAGCCGTGCACGAATGGGCGGTGGTTCCATATCAGACTGTATGCAAGGTGAGGTTAATTCGAGTAATGATAGTTCGTGGCAATTAAAAGTTGGGGCGATTGAGGAGCTGCAAGATGATTGACGAACCCATTGACAGAGGAAAATTGATCTCAAGTGATTGTGATGGGCAGCAAAAGAGACTGCGCGGAGAGACAACGAGCCGGTGCTGAATCGCTCACCCCGGATCACGAGAGCGAGTCGCAACGCAGGGAGCCCTTTCCCTCAGCCGGGCGCCCGCCGCCCGTCGTGGGCTCTTGCAGTGTTCACTGTTCACTGTTCAGTCCACGGGCCTTGGGTTGACGCAGGGAAGGGCGACGTGGAAGGGAGGAGCGACCCGGGAAGGTGGGGTCTACGGGAAGAGCTCCTTCCCTGCATGCCACGCCAGCACCAGACGTTGGGCGGCCGGACGGTACTTGCGGGTACCTGCCGGTCACTTTTTTCTGTCTCTCTTTCCTCCCTTGCGCCCATGTGCTCCATGTGCCACCACCACCTCCACGTCCTCCCCCAAAGGCCGACTCGATCTCGAACACCATCAACCACAGTCTAGACGCTTTGCAGGGCCCTCTGCTCTCGCTCCCACATATCCCACGCCTAGTAGCTCCCCCCCACCCTCCTCTCCAAATCAGTGGTGTTAGTGCTGGTGCGTGCTCTCTGCTGTGGGCGCAAGTGGAATTGCTTGATTTCCAGGCCTCCCCCTCCTCCCGCGCCCCAATCCGTTGGACCCCCAGGCTTGCGCTGTGAAGCGGACGTGGCCAACGGTACGGACATTTTGATGACATTCGACTCAGCAGTATCGGCACCTCCTGCAGCGACTCGTCATCTGCCATTGCGTGCCCTATCTATCTCAGGTTCTCTGATCGCCCTTGAACCCCTTGTATTTCGTTTTCCTATCCCTCGCAGACCTTGTCTCTGAATTCCTCCCGGCACACCGAACCCGAACGATACTCAGCCTCAATACCCCCGGAATTCCTGCGCGTCGGGGCGAACTTTCTGGACTCCCTCCAATTCCCTTCCAGGGACCTGTCAAGCTGTCCACAACGCGAAATTCAGTCCATATTGGCATTTTTTCTCGGCGGTTTCACAACTCGATATGACGCGCCGCTGATTTTCCGCCGACCCCGAGCGTTTCGTTCCCTCGACTGAGAGTATTGCCTCGACATTTTTTTTTCGACTTCACCATCACTCACTACTGCTCCGTCCAAAACACCCGACAGCCGATCCCTTCACGTTCGTCTCGCTGCGCGTCCTTTGACGTCGACGCCTATTCGCCATGGCTGCCGCAACCTCCTCAACGAGCGCTTTTGCCATTACGAAAGGCAAGCTCCTGCTTCTTGTCTCATTGGCTATTACGTTCGTCTTCCCGTCTGCATATGCAATCATGTGCTCTTCTACCCAGTGCGCGCAACTGACATTTCGTGCAGATGGTGGTTCGCCCACATCCTCCCGGGCTACCAGCCCATGATCAAGGCGCAATTCAGGTCACGATTGGATGAGGCGAGGCAGAAGATTCCCAAGATCAAGGTCGACTGGAATCCGACCGACGACCCGAGGGCTCGATACAATGCGTCTAAGCTTGCGCTCATCATCGAGCCTCGTCCGCTCCCTCACCTGGTTCCCCAGCTGCTGCATATGACGTCTGTCGTGCCTCCTGACTGGAGATTCCTGTTCATCGGCTCCAACAAGAGCACCGTAAGCATCTCTCGGAGCTACGGCGTCAAGCACCAGCAGATCATTGGCAAGCTGGACTTGATGGTCCTTCCCGAGCCTTGGTCGATCGAGTCCAAGGAGCACATTTACCGCCTGTTGACCGACCGACGTTTCTACGACGAATTCCTCCCTGGCGTGGAGTGGATCCTCAAGTTCGAGTCGGACAGCATCCTGTGCTCCAACTCTCCGACGAGTCTGAATGAATGGTTGGACTGGAGCTGGGCTGGCGCGCCCAAGTAAGTCAACCCCATGCATTAATACCTTTGCCGTCCTAACCCACCCATAGAACGCCCGACGACCGTTTCTCAGGTAACGGCGGTCTTTCCCTCCGTAGAGTATCCTCTATCAAGAGGGTATTGCAATTCCAGGAAAGATATAACAACACAGAAGCAGAAGATGAGTGGTATGGCAAGAGACTGTGGGTGATGCAGGGGGAGAAGGTGGCGCACGGGAAGAAGGGCGCCCTCGCCGTTGAAGAGGTGTACATGGAGAAGCCGATGGGATACCACATTCCCGACGGCGGCAAAAACCTTCCCGACAAAGTCTGGAAGAACCCGACCCAGCGCAAGAAGATCTTTGACTACTGTCCCGAGGTCAGCCTGATCATGGACATGAAACTCGAACGCGAACGCTGCGACGGCGACAACAGAGAAGGAGGTATAGGTCCCACCGACGCAGAGAAAGAGCAGGCAGAAAAAGAAGCTAAGCAGAAGGCCGAAGAACAGGCAAAAGCAAAAGCAGAGGAGGACGAGCGTCGTAAAAAAGAAGGTGAGGCAGAGGCCGCACGACAAGCAGAAGAGGAGCGCAAGAAGCAAGAGGAGCAGCAGAAGCAGCAAGAGGAGCAGAGGAAGCAGCAAGAGGAGCAGCAGAAGCAGGAGCAGCAGAAGCAAGCCGAAGGCGACGCCCAGAACAAACCAGCTGACACCAAAGCAAATGGACTAGACGACCTTGACGAAAATGACCTCGACGAAATGCTCAAGCTCGACTACGGTCTGGGGGGCGACGGCTCCTCTCCGTCCGGCCCGGGATCCACTGACGACGCCGACGCTAAGGCTAAAGCGATGGCTGAAGAGGCGAAAGCGATAGCCGCCGCGAAGGAGTCGGGAAGCACTCAACCACTCTAAGGACAGGACCGACCGGAACTTCAAGATTCGACAAGCGATTGCCGGGCCCACGACATGCCACGACTCGGCGAACCGATAAAGTTGACCGTTTACCACGGTCGGATCGGAATGCTCCGAGGAAACGTCAGCGACACCAGGACGACAATGCCAGTTGGTACAACAACGAAAGTTGAGGCGACAAGGGAAGTCATGTTCTACGTCAACTAATTCGAAATGACGGTGCTTTAACAGTATGGAGGGGGGGATCTTTAAGATGCACACCGTGGTTCAATACCAGCGGGGGCGCTGATTTTTTAGGTTGCCGCGAATGCCGAGGCTTCCGCAAACGGCGTTGGACAGAGGGTTGTCGTGCGGTTGTGGCCGACGTCACCCAGACGAGGCGAGGAATGGTCCGATAATGGATTGATATACCAATTCCGGAGAGTGTGGCGTCGGGCGTCTTGGAGTTAATATGCATAACCTCATTCAGCACAATGGTAGCCGGGTTACCGGCACATCGGGGACAATTCGGGAGAGCAGCGTGGGAGCTGTCAGGCAGGACACAATTTCAAATGAACATTCCGCGGAGAACAAGCTTGTTTTCGCCCAGCCAATTGCATGGTCTCAGTGAGAACTTGACCGGCCACATCTACAAGCAGCGGGCACGCCGTCGCGGGAGCTCGGGTTCGGTTTGCTAACGACGGTACCAACGACTCGGTTCACCCTGGTCCAAATGTTATCGCGCGACTCGGCCCAAGCAGCCGGCCGAGAGGCGAGATGCATGAAGACGATGGGATGACAGCGCCTGTGCCATGCCGATCCTCCGATGAAGTCTGCACTGCTTTGTTTGTTTGTTTATTGCACAGGCGCTGCGTCCAGCTAGGCATCATGGCTCCAGGCTTCCATGCAAGCGCAAGGACGTCATCTGTAAGCTTGACCAGACCGGTGGGCTCGCGTCTGTTCTGACCTGAAGTCAAATCTGCATCTCAACATCTGAGCGACGGCCTGCCCTCTGGTCAGGATCGGGTCGTTCAACGCCAAGACCACATCAACACATGGCCCGGCGACGGATACTGACGCAGATTGCAGGATACGCACTGAGGTGTCAGGGGACGCTGCTCACCTACGCAGTGCGGCAGAGCCAAGCAATCAGGGTTCCCCGTGGAGGAGAAAGGAATGAAAGATGAGATCGACCGGCAACCCGAATGCGTTCGTCCCATTTCTATTTTTTTCTCCGATCTTGCCAGCAATGGCCCAATCAACGGGGTGCGCTACTGTCAGGCACGTCCGGGTTCGGCTTAGTGCTGCCGCGTTCTTGACTCTGAACCAGAATCGCTACTCTACCCGAAGCCAAAATGGACAGACACGGAGGTAGGCTTCAACACCACGGAATAGGCTCCCAAGATAGCCTTGGAACGGGTGATGTCTTGTGGCGCGCCCGACCAGGCTTTTCCATGATCGGCTCTCTTTCTTGTTTCTTCGACAACCTCCACAACTCGCTCCGTTCGCTCGCCTTTCATAGCGGACGTCCAGAAGGGTCCAACGATGCGACCACGGCGTGGCATTCCATACCCCTCGAGCCTCTTCGAACCCGTCGGTGCGGCCCCGTACAGCCACTGGCGTCTTCGGCTCGTCCTGGCGTTTCCTCCCACAGTCACAGTCGCAACCGGTGGCGTGTCGCCCAGCCCGCTCTGACCGCGTTTCTTTCGTGTTCACTTACCGTCCCCATCGGTTCATCAGTTCCTATTCCCGTCTCGCTGCCTTCGGTATGGTCTCACCTGAACACTACCATGGCATCTTTATCGCTTTCGCTCTTGGCGACGAGCTCAATGAATTTCTTCAGAACGAATGGACCGGTTTACAGCGTGTCTAAGGCTAGGCGCGCACATCACGGCGATTCCATGCCGATGAGTTCGTTGCTGCTACCCGTCCAGACGGTGATCGAGAATCTTTGACGCCACGCTAACTTTCCCGACCCGGCTACTTGGCGGCCTCGCCTCTTGACCCTCTAATTTCCATCCATTACTGCTCGAGCCTCCCGGAGAGGGGTGGGGGGTGCTTCTTCGCGTTCATCAGCAACCATGTTGTGGAGACTGTGACGCCGTTTCTGATGCCACGACCTCATCCTCGACGCCTCCCATGCTGTATATAACATCGATGGCCGCGCTTGAATCATGAGAAGCTTTTATCTCGGTATCCTCTATCAAGGTGCTTCAGTGTCCCTACAAGAAGCTTGGAGTCATTCTTTTATCTCCTAGCCCTTTTCTTTTATTTCTTTGCACCACTCACTATACTTCACATCTTAGTTTTGTCTAATACAGCGAGCCGCAATGCGTTGGTCTCCCTTCCTCCTCGCCTCCCTCACTGGGTTGGAATTCGCTCAGGCACACGGCCACGATGAGCATGAGCCTCACATGAACGTCATTTGGGGACGCGGTGGACCCAGCGAGTTGCGACAGAAGCGTGCGGCGTACGAGGCATGGAACCCTCCATCAGTGCCACTCAAACCCCGCGGAGACGCTACAAGCCCCCTCGAAGCCCGACAGACATCCGGCCTGACACAGGCCCTGCCCTCCGGAATCGCGGTCGGAGATGGATCGCAGTGTGGTCCGAAGCTCGGAGCTTGCAACCCGGGCGACTGCTGTTCGGCTTCTGGGTATTTTCCAATGCTTCTCTGGCATGCAATCAGTGGCTAACCCTGCATAGATGGTGTGGTAAAGGCCCTGCCTACTGCAACTCTCCCGATTGTCAAATCAGCTACGGCCCTGCTTGCGACGGCAACCAAAAACCAAGCGGCCCCGATACTTCTAACGACGCCAGACCCAAGCGTGGTGACGTTCCCTATGGCGGTGTTGGCATCTACAACTGCGTCAACGACGGTGATGTCGCCATCACTTACGACGATGGCCCGTACCTCTACACCGATGGCATGTTGGATGCTTTCAAGGCTCACGGTGCTGTTGCAACATGGTTCATCACTGGTAACAACATTGGCAAGGGTATGATCAACTCCGCCTACGTTGGCACCATTCAGGTAAGACCTCCAATCGCGTCCGTAATCTGGCAGGGGTCTGACAACAGCAGCGCATGGTTGCCGAGGGTCACCAGATCGCCAGCCACACGTGGTCCCACGAGAACCTCGATTCCTTGACTCTGTCCCAGCGCAAGAACCAGATGGTGTACAACGAGATCGCCTTCACCGACATCTTGGGCTTCTACCCCACTTACATGCGTCCTCCTTACTCCATCTGCGGAACTGAGTGTCAGGGACAGATGGCTGATCTTGGTTACCACATCACCTACTTTGATCTTGACACTCAAGGTTACCTGCACACCGACCCCAGCCAGATCGGCGTCAGTGTCAACCTTTGGGACCAAGCCATGCTGGCCAAGTCTCCTTGCAACGCCTCCTACTTGCACATCGAGCATGACATTCACCAGCAGATTGCCCAGGTTCTTACTCCTCACATTCTGGACTCCGTCGTTGCCAACGGCTGGAGGGCCGTTACTGTTGGCGAGTGCTTGGGCGATCCCGTTGAAAACTGGTACCGTCGCGGCAACCCCGGTTACAACTTCAACATCACCGCATCCAGCCCTGCGGCCTGCGCTAGCACAGCATCCAAGACAACCACTGCAGCTTTCTCTACCGGTGGCGCTACCACCCTTCCCACCTCCACGTCCCTGGCTGTCTCAACTGACGCTTCCTGCGGTGGAACAAGCGGAAACACCTGTCTTGGATCTACCTTTGGAAACTGCTGTTCTGTCAACGGCTGGTGTGGTAGCACCAACGCGTACTGCGGATCAGGTTGTCAGTCCAAGTTTGGCAACTGCGGAAGCAACGCCGGCTCCAGCAGCACAGGTAGGACCTCGTCTACTTCTCGTCGCAGCACCAGCAGCTCCTCCTCGCGCACCAGCTCTTCTTCGCGTGTCAGCTCGTCAACCGCTCGCACGAGTTCCAGCTCGTCCTCGCGGGTTTCTAGCTCCAGCTCGCGTTCCAGCACTGGCACGTCGCGCACCAGCTCCAGCTCAAGCACTCGTAGCAGCACTGGTCCCAGCTCTCGCACTTCCGCTACCGGAAGCGTCACTGCTGCCACCACCGGGTCTACTTCTCGCACAGGAACTTCTTCTCTGACTAGATCATCTTCAGTCTCGGGCTCTACTTCAGGCTCTGTTTCCGGGTCTACTTCCCGTTCTACTTCTTCTGCGTCCGGTTCTTCTACCGGCTCCACTGGCTCCGCCACTGCTGCGTCCGTCTCCGGCTCGTCCACCGGCTCAGCGTCTTCTTCTGCATCGGCTTCTGGCTCCGTCTCCGCCCAGTCTGGCTCATCCACGGCCAGCGGCACGGCTTCGGGCTCGTCATCTGCCTCTCGTTCCAGCACTGGCACCGCTGCTCTTCCCTCTTCCACCCTTCCCGTCTCCGACAATGGCGAGTGTGGTAGCAACAACGGCAGAACTTGTATTGGCTACTCGCAGGGCAGCTGCTGCTCCCAGTACAACTACTGTGGAAGCACTGATGCTCACTGCGGCACTGGCTGCCAGAGTGTCTTCGGTACCTGTGGCAGCTCTGTCAACGCCACATCTCCCAGCGGCACCGCAAGCGCCGCGGCCGGCTCTAGCTCCCGCGCCAGCTCTGCCGGTACCGCCTCTGCCTCTGCCCCTCTCGCAAGCTCTACTTTCCCGGCCACCAGCGATGGCTCATGTGGTGCCGCGGCGGGCAAGAGCTGTGTCGGTTACTCTGGAGGCACCTGCTGTTCTCAGTACAACTACTGCGGTAGCACTGATGCCCATTGCGGCACTGGCTGCCAGTCTCTCTTCGGCAGCTGCCAGAGCTCTGCATCCGGCGGAAGCTCCGCTGCAAGCTCCGCTCCTGGCCAGGCTACCGGTACTCGCACTGCTTCCGCCTCGGCATCTACCAACACCAACCCTTCCAGCGACGGCTCCTGCGGTGGCACCAAGGGGTTCAACTGCTTAGGCACCAACTTTGGTGACTGCTGCTCGCCCTACGGCTACTGTGGTAACAC